ATGAATGTCTAGGGGAATTAGCTAGACATCTACAATAAGAAAAAAGCCTGTCAGTAACTTAAGCTTCCATGCTTGGAGATTAGAAATAGCCTATGTCCATGAGGAGGGGGAAAATAACCTAAATGTCTGTGAGTGGGGCTTTAAAATTACTTAAGTTGGGGCTGGAGAGATAGCTCAGTGGTTAAGAGCACTGACTGCTCTTGCAGAGGACCCAGGTTCAATTCCCAGCACCCACATGGCCTCTACGAACCGTCCTTAACTCCAGTTCCAGGGGAATCCAAAGCCCTCTTCTGACCTCTGCAGCACCACACAACATGGGTGAGCTCACATACGTGCAGGCAATATGCTCTACACATAAAATAAAAATAATAAAATATTAAAAAATAAAATTACTTAAGTGTGGGTTGGGGAGATAATAATGTGCTTGCTGAGCAAGCACAAGGGCCTGAGTTCGGTCCCCAGCACCCATGTAAAAAGCCAGGTATGGTGGAGCTGACTTGTAAACCCAACACAGGGAGAAAGAGACAGGCAGATTCCTGGGGTTCACTGGTCAGCCAGCTTAGCCAATCAGTGAGCCCCAGGTCCTATGAGAAGCCCTGTCTGAAAAGAAAGCTAATGGCTTCTGATAAATGACACCCACGGTTGACCTCTGGCTTCCACATGTACATGTACACACATGCACCTGCATGTACATGAGCATGCACTCTCATACAAACACACAGAAAACTCCAGCAGCAAAAATAACCTATGTGTCCATAGGACAGGGATTGGGAACAAATGTCTACCAGGGAGACTGAATACACAAAATAAGTCCCATCCACATAGAACACAGCTGAGATGACATTCTGTACTGATGTAAAGGCTTAGGCAGGATAAATCTCATTGAATAACATGGTATTACACTCTGAGGGAAGGAAGGGAAGGCAAGGCTTGTGTAACAGCTTGAGTGGGCATCTCGTCCGGATGGATGGTGATGGTGGGTGCCTCTGGAGAAAGGTGCTCTTGGGCTAAATCTTTGTGCTGCCACAATGAATGTCCTCTGCTGATGACAGTTCAACAACACCAAAAACTGGTTTTTACTTTTAACAGTCAATGTAGTGGGAAGAACGTGGATTCTTGGCATCAGAGCTCTGTGTAATCGCAGGCTGTTACTTACTGACTGGGTGCCCTCGGCTGTGCCATCTCTGCACCTCTGTTTGGTCACCTGGACGATACTGTCAGTGAGAGGCAGTGGGATGTGTATAGGCTGTTCACCCAGCCTGGGCCCCATACCCAGTCCTCAGCTCTGGTTGTTGGGGCTTCATGTCAGAAAGATGGCTGTCTATGATAGTGCTGCGTCCAGAGCCCTTTCTGGGGAGGCCACAGGCGGGTCCCTAAGCCCTCTGGGAACCCCACACATTCAGTTCAGACCCCAAGCCCATTAGCTGTGGACTAAGGCGTGGACCCTTTCCAGAGCCCAGCTCTCAGCACCTAAATGAGTCTCATGGGAACACAACAGGACTCTGCTGTGCCTGCCAACTATTGCCTTGGGGAAGCAGGCCTGGCCCTCATCCCCTCACCTCCTTTTGTCCTCCCTGTTTTCCCCACTTTCCTTACTCCCTCTCAGAGCTGCCTTCATCCATTCTCCCTGTCCCTCCCCTCCCTGCCCTTCCATCTTTCCCCACCCTTAGACCCAGCGTCAGAACCTGAGCAGTAACAGGGACCTCCTGGAAGCCATGACACTTGACAGAAACCAAAAGTACAGCTATACCATGAGGTGGTAGTCTAGGAAGAAGCAATATAGGCAGCAAGGAAGGCAGGTGCAAAGGCCCTGTGGTTGGATGGGACAATGAGCTGGGCCTACTCCAGCCACACTTGTAAAAGAATGGCTTCCCAGAGTAATGCAGGGGCGGAGCGGGGGGGTGACACCAGCAGCTGCGAGCCATGTGACTCTATGTGACCCTGTCACTAAGGCTCACTGATCCCTCTGTAGAGCCAGTGATGGTGTGGTGTGAACTGAGAGGATAGCTGAGGTATGGACACATAACAGTGTCAATAAATGCACCACGGACTTGCTGACATAGAGCAGGCTGTCTAGGTCTCCACCCGCAAGTGCTCTTTGTAACCTTATCTATGTAACCTCCCACCCTATGTACCACATCACTGACATAGGCATGCTCTGCTGTCGCAGGGCCTTTGAACTGGCTGGGCTCTTCTGCTCACAGCAACTTGGTATGACCCACCCTCTTTAGGTCTTAAGCATAAGGCCTCTTTCCCGTGAGTGCCCCCTGGTGGCTCTGGGTGGAATTGCGCTCCCCCACTCGTACCCCCTTCTCTGCTTAATTTTTCTCCCTGCCCAAGCATGCCACTGAAAACATTTCAGTGGCTCCCATTGCTCTGTTACACTTACAGATCTGGAAGGGACGAGGGCACCTTGGTGGCTGGCCACCTCTGAGCACCCCAGTCCTGAGAAGTTGTTTCAGGGATGGTCCAGGTGTGGTTCAAGTTCCTGCCCTGCTTGCTTGCTTTGTGCCCCTCTGTGCTTTAGGATTCTCAGTGGGTGTCACTCCACAGGGTGGTTACAAGGATGGAAGAGCGCCTGGCACAGGGTGGGTGCTGCGTGTATGTGTGCTGGGAGGAGCCAGCGCCATCAGTGTTCCCGGAATTAATGGTCACCCCTCTCCAGGGCCTCCAGCAGTCCCTAACTTGAGGCCCCTCCCTGCACTGGCCAGTTAGGGGTTGCAGCGTAGCGACCATGCCACGATGCCTGGCTGATGCACCTTCTGGTCCTCCAGGCCAGGGCCCACAAGGTACAGCTGCAGCAGGGAGGTGGTCTCCCTTTCTTTGAGCACAGTTCAAAGCAGTAGTGGTTCAGGTCATGAGTGACTGGATTTAACTCCTTGATGTGCTACTGTCCATGGGGGTCAAAGTCTTGGCCCCAGTCCTGATGGTTCCCAGTGGCCTGGGCAGCCTCTCTGCCTGCAGGAGACATAATCCATTTTGAAATCCCCTGGAGGGAGGCAGACAGGACAAGTGTCACCCACACCTAGCCCAGGGTCCACTGAGGTTTCAGTTCTGCTAGGGCACCAAGCTACCTGTGACACCTTTGACATCTGACTAGAGACATATGGAACAAGGGAACCAGGTGTGCCAGGCCAGGTGGGCAGAGCCAGGTGTGCAGGGCCAAATGCACAGGGCCAGGTGGGCAGGGCCAGGTGGGCCAAGCCTGGTATAGCTTCCCCAAGCCTCAGTCTATACATTGACAAAATGGGGCGAGACTGAGACAGGGTGGGACTGGGAACAGGAGGGGTGGACAGCAGGCGTGAACCTGGTCGCCAGGCCTCGCACACCACTCCTAGTCAGAAAACTGATGCATCGTCAGGATCCAGTGGGTCAGAGCTTGGGTTGGAGGAGACTGCTTCCTCCTTCCCTTCGCAGAGGAGGTACTGAGGATCTCCAGATCCCCGTCCTCGAAGTGGGAACAGAGGTTCTTGAAGGATGTAGTCAAAGATCGCGCCTGTGCCACATCCACAAACTTTTTCAAACAGAAAACACTGTCCAGATTAAGAAAACTAGGAGGTTTGGTCGTTGCTTAGATGTTTTTAATTCATATTGTATGTGTATGTGTGTGAGTATATGTGTGTGTATGTGTGTGGTATATGTGTGTATTTATGAGTATATGTATGCATTGTGTATGAGTGTGTGATGTATCTGTGTGCATGTATGTATGTGTCTTGAGTATGAATGTGTGGTGCATATGTGTGTATGTATGTGTTTATGTGAACATCAGTGTATGTGTATGTGTGTACTATGTATTTATATGGGGGATGTGAGTGTGTATGTATGTGTAGTTATGTATGTTTACACATGTGTGTATGTGTGAGTATATGTGTGGTGTTTGTGTGTTTGTGTATATGTGTGAATGTGTATATGTGTGTGAGTGCATGTATTTGTGTGTGAATGTGTGCACATGTGTATATGTGTACTTGTGTGAGTGTGTATATGTATGAGTGTGTATATGTGTGGTGTATGTAAGTGTTTATATATGTGAGTGTGCCTGTGTGTATGTATGGTGTGAGAGATATATGTGTGTATATGTGGTGTGGGTGGTATATGTGTGTATATGTATGGTGTATGTGTAGGTGAGTGTGTGTATGGGTTTGCATGTGTGTTGTGTGAGTGTGTGCGCATGTGAGTGTGCCTATGTGTATGTATGGTGTGGGGGGGAGTATGTGTATATGTGTAGGTGAGTATATGTATGTGCTTGTATGTGTTTTGTGTGCGTGTGTGTGTGTTTGTGTAAGTGTATATGTGAGTGTGCCTATGTGTATGTATGGTGTGTATGTGGTATGTGCATGTTTGTATGTATGGTATTGTATGTGTTTGTGTACATGTATACATTTGTGCATGTGTGTGCTGTGCATGGTATATTTACAGGTACACATCCTGAGCATAGGTGTGTGGAGGTTAAAGGAGGGCATGGATGTCAGGGTTCCCTGGAGGCAGCAGAGCTAGGCTGCTGGCCAGTCCATCCAGCGATCTTCCTGTCTCTGCCCTGTAGCACTGGGGTGATGGGTCCCAGTGCAGCTTTTTTTATTTTTTTATCTTTTTATTTATTTATTTTTTGGTCTTTTCAAAACAAGATCTTCCTGTAGCCCCAGCTGGCCTGGAAATCACTATGTAAACCAGGCTGGCCTTGAATTCACAGAGATCCACCTGCCTCTGCCTCCCAAGTACTGGGACTACAGGCGTGCTACCACGCCCAACCCAGCACAGCTTTTAAGTGGGTGCTGGGATTCGATCCCGTCTCTTCATGCTTGTGCGGTAAGTGTTCTTATCCACTGTGCCATCCCTCCAGCCCAGGATTTGTTGTTGTTGTTGTTATTGTTGTTGTTGTTGTTTGAAACAACATTTTGCTATGTAGCCCAGGAGGCCTAGCATTCACAACTCTCCTTTCTCAGCCTCCTGTGTGCTGGGATAACAGGCCTACGCCACCACATCCAGCTAGAAAATAAAGTCTTGTGCTCACTTCAGCAGCACATATACTACAAGTGGAACGATACGGAGATCAGCATGGCCCCTGTGCAAAGATGACATGCAAATTCCTGAAGCGTTCCATATTTTTAATCCAGCAGGGAGCCATAAGAGGGGTGTAGATAGGAGTGGGTCCCAAATATGATCAAAACATATTGTGTGACATTTATAAAATTTCAGTCAAAAGAAAATAAAGTCTTCATCAACTTGTCCTGGAACTCTCTGATCCAACCCAATGTTTCTGGGGCTGACCTCAAGAGGAGCTGGGCCTCTGAGAGCCCCATATGGCCCCAGGCCATCTCCTAACCCCCCTACTTAGCCTTGGGTCCCCCTCCACAGGACATTTGTCCCTGACCCAGGTCTGTGCATGGCAGGTCTGAGAGCTGGGGCAGCCATGGCTCCCAGCCCCATAACAGAAACATCGATACAATGCTTTTACTGATTTTGAACTTGGCCCTTCTGTCTTGATTTCTTCTGTCCCTCAAGAGCATATTTTCAAAATTGTAAGTGGGCCAACCAGGAAGTTTCCCAGTCATTGAAATCAGTGGAAGCTGAGCATCCAGAAGGGACAAGGATGCATTCCAAATATATCTCTTGGTTCTTCAGCCAGCCTACCACTGTGTACCTCTGACAAGCATTTATTGAGCGCCTACTGCATGCAATGTTCAGAATAGGTGTTCTACCTCGATTATTAATATAGTGTGTCCCCAACACCAGGAAGAGCAGGAGAGAAGTGGAAGTCAAGATGGGGAGTACAGGGGAGATCTAAGAAGAAAGGATAGCCTCGTTTCCTTGGCCCAAGGGGGCAGGAAGTGTCTGCATCAAGTGTTGGCATAGATGGGAACACAAGAAGAGAGACACAGACCCTGAAATCAACCAGACCAGTGCTGTAAAAGAAGCCACCGGGGCCCAGAGAGAAGAGCCACATAAAGGGCAGGAAAAGCCTGGCAGAGCCAGTGAGAGGGAAATCTTGGTGGTCAGAGGTCCAGCAAGGGAAGACAGCAGGTGCAAAGACCCTAAGAAAACCAAGAAAGTTGGGTAGCTGGAGCACAGTAGGGTATGAGGGCAGAGAGGCGAGCAGGGCCAGGCCACGCTCCGTTCATTGGCACTGGGCAGGACTTGGGACTTGACCCGAGAGCTGTGGGAAGTCATCCTCTTGTCATGTGTAGAATTTTAGGCTGAGGAGTGACAGGACCTGATCCATGCTGTTGAAGGCACTGCTAGGTGCTGTGGTGGAAGTGAGTGTTGGAGTGAGAGGCCACAGGAAGATGGTGGGGAGGCCGCTGCACCAGTCTGTGCACTTGTTGCTGAGCTTTCTGTTAAATCGCCTGTCTTTTTATGGGGGCTTCGTAGCAGTGGACATGCATGGGAGAGGTGGGCAGACTCCGGCTCCCTGCTCCCCCCTTTTCTAGACATTCATTGAGAATAGTGCACCGGCCTAAGAGCTTAGGTCAACAGACAGCCGTGCTTTACATGCCGTGTCAGCCAGAGCATCTCCTGTGCCTATCACCACACCCCCAGCAGAACCCCAACCCTGATGTCCAGCTGTGCAGATTCATCCATCCCACCCTGGCACAAGATCCTCACCGTGTACCCTTTGTGAGGCAGATCCCTATTGATTCTTGTAGTACATTTGCCCCCAGTAGTGCCTCTCTGAGAGTAGATCACAGAGCTATTAGTGTCTATGTTAGTGGGTGTCTGGGTCAGTTCCAGTCTTGGTCTGTTATGAATGATGCTTCTGTGAACATCCCAGAGTTGCTTGCCTCCAGCTTGAACATATTCATGAATTACCTGGAGAACTGGGTAAACCACAGATACCTAACTCGTGGGGCTGGCAAGGGCCTGAGCTGTCATTCTTCGAAAGTTCTTGGTTTATGTCCCAGCTGCCTATCTGCTATCATACGGTGTGCGTGGAGAGGCTCCGTGTTGGCAGACAGATTTCTCTGGAATGCGTGTAGTGCAGGGAGACTTCAGCAGAATAGGAAGGTTTATGTTGCTTTAACAGACACTGTGATTTCCCAGAGGCCAAGTGACACCCCTCCAATAACCCTTGAGGTTCAGGTTGCTCCACATTCTTGTCAACACTTGCTACTGTCTGCCTCTTACTGTGGCCACTCTGGTGCCTATGCAGAGGCACATTTTGTTATTGTTGTTTCCTTTGGTCTTGCCTTGTAGCCCTGGCTAACCTGCTTCTTGCTGTGTAACCCAGGCTGGCCTCAAACTCATGGCAGTCCTCCTGCATCACTTCTAAACTGCTAGGATTACAGGTGTGTGCTACCACACCTAGCTGTGGCACCTCAAGGAGGCTTGAGTTCACAGTGATGCTGTTGGATACCATCAGGCAGGCACATTGCCTGGTGGTTTCTGCCTTGGTTCCCCAAGGCATCATGCCAGCTTCTCACCCACCCTTCAACATATTTCTTTGACTCTTTTGGAGTTTTTTACTGTGGACACAGCCCAATCAAACATATATCCTTCTTCCCCTGCATGGCCTTTTGCACTCTGATTTCTCCTGTTAGGTTTATTTTTTATTACATTTATTTATTTTGGTCTGTGAATATATGGACGTCAGAGGACAACTTGCAAGAGTAAATTCTCTTCTTCCACCACGTATGTCCTAGAGGTCAAACTCAGGTTGTCAGTTCTGACAGCAGGCTCTCATCCTGCAGAGCCATCTTGCTGGCCCTACCTGTTGTTTTCAATCTGGTAGTTATTTTCCAGAGCTTGGGTGTGTGCTGTCCTGAGCAGGTGTGGGATGATGCTAGGGGACCTTTCTGCAATGTTTTGTTTTGTTCTTTTGAGACAGGTTCTTGCTCTGTATGTGGGGAGTGGGGCTGGGGGTGTGTAGCTCAGGCTGGCCTTGAGCTTAACACCCATCATGGCGGAGAGGCATGTGAGGAGGCAACTGGAGCAGAAAGCTGAGTGCTCACATCTTCAAGCACTTTTGGGAAGCAGAGGGACAACTGAAGTGGGGCAAGGCTATGAACTTTCAAAGCCTGCCCCTAGCGATGAGCTCCCTCCAGCCAGGCCGCACCTTCTAAACCTCCACAGACAGCACCACCAATTGGCCAGTAGGGAGGGACAACTTGAAGTCCATCCAGGAAGGACAGAGTCTGAGATCACTTGAACCCTGCCACCCACTCAGGACCCCACAGTGCCTCCAAACAGCCTGCTGCCACAGGCGTCCCAGGCCCAGCCAACATGGACTGAGCAGCCCAAGGTATTTTGTATCACTGAACAATTTGAAATAATTAGAACTTTACAGAATGTCTTTAAACAGGCTGCTGTGGGCCTGGGAACACAGTGGTGAAGAGCAGCCCTTATTAGCAGCTGATCAATTATCCCTACGGACGGCTGCTGACGGAGAAGAGAGCGGTAATAAGCCCCTTGATTAACTAATTTGAATATCTTTGGAGAACAAATTCCAAATTTTCTTTCTATTTTCTTCTTCTATTGTACCGGCCACACATCTGCTGGCTGGGGGTGGGGCACAGTGAGCCTCAGCTCCTGGCAGCTCTCCGCCTGGGATCCAGGGCAGGGCTCCCAATGTGTGGGCATGGCCCCCCAGCCACCCAGGGACCTCACCCTGGCCAGAGCCAAGTAGGTGACTGTGAGCAGCTCTGCTAAGCCGCTAGGCCTCTGCCTCCCACTGAGGTGTCAGAGACTAGGCAGGCATTTAGGAGATGGTGCTGATTCTCCTAAAGACTCTTGGGCCAGCCAGGGACAGTCCCAGGACAGAGACAGAGCTAGAAGCTGCATTCTGCTAGCCCCTCAATTCACTCCACTTCCAGGGAACCACTGGTTCCTAAAAGGCAGAGGCTGAATCTGGGCAGTAAGGACCCTTGTCCCCAGGGATCTTTGATCCCACAGAGCATTATGGACATACCACCCCCATGGTTACCTGTTCCATGTTTTCCTTGTGGGTGAAACAAGTCCCTGTAGCCAATTCCTCTGTCTTGTCTTAACCTCTCTGTGCATGCTCATCTCTACCCAGGATGTAATGGCAGTACCCTTGCCCTAAGGTTCTTATAGCATAGCAAGCATGTCACTCCCCATGAAATTAGCAGACTACATTCGTTTGCAAACTGGTGGGCCAAGTGCAAAACTCCAATGAGTCTGTTGGCAAACTGGCGGGCTGGGTGCAAAACCCAGTGAGTCTGTTTGTTTGGCACAAAATGTGTTGTTAGGTTCTTTTCCCTGAACTAATTGCTAATGATTAAAATTAAGAGTTTTGCATAAAAAAACAAGGACTAGGGGCTTCTCTGAGGCATCAGGCAGCTGCCCACTTGGGGCCATGTGATATCACTGGGCCAGAGCTCAACTCCAACAGTGAGGGACAGTGTTTCTCCTTGTCCCTATGGGTACCCCCCACCCACGTGCTTTATCTGTGGCATTGTCTGCTAGGTTTCTGCTCTCTTGTGAGCCTAGGACATCTGCCAGGGACAGGTGGACCCTTCCCATGATGTCCCCGGTGGCCGTCACATAGTAGGTACTTACATCATATTTGAGTTGAGGTTACAACTCAGTTGGTAGAGTGTGCCTAACATGCATGAAGGCCTTGAATCCCTCCCAGAACTTGGGAGGTGGAGGTAGGCAGGGCAGGCAGACCACTTGAAACTGGGCCCCACCTTGCTGTGCCCTTGAGCTGAGAAGCACCCCCTCTGAACTCTCACTTTGCCAACTGTGATATAGGGACAGTAGTGACAGACACACATGTATGTAACACTAGTCATCTGCACAATGCTCAGACAAGGAGAATTCTAGAAATAAAATCTTGCACAAGTTTTATGACCCTGAGTGAGTGCTGGGGATAGCCGTCCACCCCTCTGCTTTACCAAGGTATAACTTACACTGTGAAATTGACCCACCATATGCAGAGAGCCCTATGGGTCTGAGTGTTGGTGGAATTGCACATCCATTAGCACTACCCATGCTTGGAACATGGCAGTCACCCCATGTGCTGAATAGCTTAGTGTCAACTTGACACACCCAGGTTGAGGGAGCCTCAATTGAGGAATTTCCCCAATGTCTATGGGGCATCTTCGTCATTGATGAGTGATGTGGGAGGGCCCAGCCCACTGTGGGTGGTGC